GCTATTTTGTCTTCAATGTTTAGTATTTTGTATGATTCTGGGTTTTAGTTTTCACGTTGCTGTCAAATTCTTTCCATGAAGCCATGTTTGTTTATTTATGGAAACTCTTGTTTGTGTACCCCTCAAAGCTACAGGACCCCATTTTTATTGTTTTATCGAGTTAAAGTTTGTGCATCCTCGAAGCTGTCTGAATCATTGTTTGTCTATTCGAGTTAATGTTTGTTTGTGTATACCTGAACTTGTCTGAATGCTTGTTTGTTAATTTGAATGCTTGCTTGCTTATGGTGGGTCCTGTAAAACATTGTTATGAACTCCTGTTTGTTCGTTAATGTAAATCGGTGGTTTAATTGTGAGTCCATGTTAATTTATTCGTGTAATCGCTTGTTTATGTGCGCCTTAAAGTTGTGTGGAGTATTTTTTGTTGTTAATTCAAATTCATGTGATGAGTTCTTTGTTTGTCTGTTGATGTATTGTTAGCTGACGTTTGTTAATATATTTGATCACCTGTTTGTAGTTCGTCCTGAGTATCTCTCTTGTTTGATGTTGGTTTAGTCATGTAATTATTTTGTATTCCCTTCCAAGCTGTCTGTACTCACATGATTCATGTTTCTTTATCCGTCTGATCGCCCGTTTTAGTTTAGTTTTTTAGTTTTAGTAAGAGTTTGTGTGTGTGTGTGTGTGTGTGTGTGTGTGTGTGTGTGTGTGTGTGTGTGTGTGTGTGTGTGAGAGAGAGTCTGTTTAACCTCTCTGGGTTGGTGGTCGGTGGCTACTGTTGTATGGTTTGCTTCTTTTTCCTTTCAAACATCTATTGTCATTATCTCTCATCCTTCTTCTTTTCTTTGAATGTTTCTCGCTAGTAGTGACATCTACTCTTGGGCACGTATATGACCTATTTCTGTTGCAAGTGCCGTAAAACTCTTGACTAAAACTAAAATAAACTTACGTTTTCCCTTTTACCCTTCCTATTTTGAATGTTCGACGGCTGATTGCAAGAAATGACTCATATCCACTTATCACAGTTTCAAGAAAAACAAGTTCGAAATGTTGACGATATTGAAACTTCTATAACATAGTCAGAAAAGACACATTAATATCTCGATGCTAAACTAAGCTATGGCTTGCATATGGTCGCTTTTAAGCACAAGGGGGCTATCCCGAAAAATGCTGTTTTGAGAAAATCTAAGGTAAATTGTTTTCCCCTTGTTCAGTTTCTTTAAAAGACAGAGAGTTTTCTCTATAACCAAACATATATACACACCAATGAAACCAAACTTTTCCTACTGGTAGGAAAATGCCCACGTTTGGTGTAGGTCAAGATTTGTGGAAACCCTCGAAATCTGGGTTAGCCCGCTTGTCCTTAAAAGCGACCATATTATTATTTACAG